CTCTGCCAGTCCGAACTGACCGAAGGATGTCCTGACACCAAGGACCCGGCCAACTGTAGCCGAACGCACAGAACTCCTAAAATGAAGTCGACAACCATCAGATGGAGGTCGGAAGTAGGCGACAACAAGTCGGAAAATCAACCAGAAGTACGAAATCGACCTCTCAGTGGAAGAACTTACCTTTCGTCGGATAAACACAAAGTTTTTCCGACCTGGGGAAGTCGGAAAATAGCCGACCTCCGAACGTGGACATGGATATCCGACCTCAAGCCGAGGTCGGAAGTGACCGTACACAAGTCGGTAGGGTACGACAACAAGTCGGCAAAGACATTCAGAAGTCGAGAACCGACCTCCTAACGGAAAAATCCGACCTTCGGACGGATGGAAACATAGTTCATCCGACCTTCCGAAGTCGACTATAACCGACCACATGTCGGAAGTCGGCAACTTAGTCAACATGACGGAAGAAGAACGACAGATATCTGCGGTGGACGAATTCGACTTGAAGGAACTTGTTTAGCCCCACATGGGCATGTTATTGCAGGTTAACCCTAGTCGACCACTGACGGATAGGATAACCGACCTCGACAGAAGGTCGGATAACAACGGAACAGATTGGATGGAAGTCGACTGGACACTTCCATCGATGAAACTCATGAATTCCGACCGGACCTTCGAGCCAGTTCGACTCGGATTACTACAAACCAGGCTCGTGGTAGCAGATTGAACGGTTGTAACCGACCACTTTTGAACGGAACTGCTGTACATGACGACCACACAGGCCGCATGACTCACTTACAGCTTTTCTCCGACCTGGACTTTAGCAATTCGGAACATAGCCGAATTCCCTTAGCCGCCGGTCGACTTACCGGTAGGCCGACCTTGGTCAAACCGACCTCGGTTCTATTCCCCATTCAGAGAGGATGCCTCGGCATTTGCAACCGCAACAGTGCCTCTCTATCCCGAACGGACGGATACGAGTCGGAAGTAAGTGTTTAACCGTGCTTATCCGACCTCGGTGAATTTAACCGGTTACGACGGGTAACCCGGGAACCGATGCCCCGGACCCAACTTACCGGATGAAAGTGGACAGGAGACCCCGTGGACGTCATCCTAGTCGGAATAGGACCCCCGGACAGATTTTTGCATTTTTTTAGCATTTTTCCTAACAAACGGAATTGTATTTTTCTAGTTCGATCTCTTTGACAGATCTGTTTTGTAACCCCTTTTGCTCACTGGAATTGTGATTAAACTTTATTTCATACTTTCTTTCGCGCTGTATACAACTTTCATTACACTTTTCTTTCACATTGTTCTCCGTTGCCAACAGAAGCAAGAAGCCAGCCAACAGAAGCAACACCGGTCCAACGAAACGCCCGAGCGGCTTCCGGATTTTTCGGCCGTGAGTGGCTTCCACTCATGGGTTCGGAAGTGAAGAAGGGACGGTCGACCAGACACCGGACTCCCACTGCCAGAGGACGCGTACCAGCGACCCCACATTGGGTCCGACTGGAGAGTTGTGCGGTACTGGTGCGGTACCGAGTCGGAGCATCCTTCGCAGGAGCTCGGATTCCCGCCCAGAGGCATGTCAGAGGCACATGACTGCGCCTGGTGCATACGGCCCACCATGGACGTACTTGCACTCATGCTTGCCATATCGCCTCTCTCGCTGTACGTACGTGTGCTGCTGCACTGCACTCATATCCGCTGAAGCGGATATATGCGGCGCACACACTGAGCATACTTGCTCTCTCGTCCCTCTCTCGCTGTATGACTCAGCGTACGCTCGCGTTGGATTGAGTCCAGTCTGCGCATCATCACACAGCTGATGGCACACAGCACGTGCTTGCCGCCAGTTGCTTCTTTCACGCCTTGACGAACGCTCAAGAGCTCTTCTAGCATTCACTTGCTTGTTAGCCATCAGTGCTTTTGTTCTTGCTTTCCTGCTATTACGCAGCATTGTTCCCCACTTTATTTGTCAATAAAGTATCACTCGTGATCTCCTCGCGCTTGCCTGTGACATAGTTGTTCGCCGTTTGCGAAAAGTACCGCAAAAACAGAATGACGAGGCGGGTTAAAAAACAATTGCAGTACTTCCAGATCTACTGTAGAAGGCAAACCGAAAGAATATGCCTTGCGCTTTGCGGTTCAGCGTGAAACTGCGCGATATTTTAATGGGTTAATCAGGTTCTTTTGATGGATGAATGAATTTTCAATCTTTTCCGCGCAATCATTTGGTGGTTTAACTTGTGATGGCTACCGTACGTTAACACCTGCGATAAAGTGCAGTAATTACAAACTTCTGTCAAACCCAGTATATCTAGATTTGGTATAAATTGATCAGTTCAGACCAGCTTTACTGGATTACTAATTTTATTTTACCAGTTATTTTTTGGAGAGCCGGCAAAGCTAACTAGCGGTGGTTGCGAACCACATTATTGCACGAGCGCGAGCGCCAGTACCAACGGGAAATGGTATTGGGTTTGTGGAATTTGAAAAGCGTGACGTACGCTCTTCGTGGCTTCAGACAAATTTTATGCGCTTGACGAAGACTTATTGCAGCACCTCGCGCTTCGCGCTCGGTGCAAATTAAACGGCAAAATTAGAAACAACGAACAACATGGTGTATGAAAAATGCCGGTAGCAAATAACTGATACGAGCTAGCTGATAACACGTATAATTACTGCATACAATACATGCATGTTCCTTACTCTTATCCTTAGACAACCTTACATAAAAATTCCCATATCCTTTATTCGGCAATATCCCCTACATAAGAAAAAATGCCTGCGCGCTGGGCAATAATTAAAATAACTAATTTAAACATTAAAAAAACACCCAAAATCGTTAATGTTACCCACTGCTCAAACTAATTCTATTTGCCTGCGCCTGATGTAACTGTAATCGAAATAAAAAAGTTTAACAAAACGTATTACTTAAAAATTGCCAACATATGGCAACATACTGTCAGTTTAACTGGTGATGTCATGCAAAATTGCACCCAAAATTGGAAAGTAATTTTCAAAGAACGACCATAGATCTGCCGAGCTGCGCCAATATTCCTGCCGACCCGACCCTATGCATTGCTTATGGGAACTCCAATATATCTGCCGAACGGGCACAACAGTGAAACTCGATATCCTTGATGAGTGCATGCCGGCTTCCACTGTCCGGGAGTGCTGCAGCTTGACATACTGAAGATAGGGATATTGTACCAGCGGGGATATTGCAGCACCTCAATAGGTTTCACATTTATGAATGTTGCACATTCAAAAAGTTGATTATACACAGAACACGTTTATTGAAATTCGGTTGTTATTTCCGAGGGGATAAAAAGAGGTTTGAAAAACTGGGGATTTAAACGTTTTGTGTAGTGGCTGGTTTATGCAGCTGAAAACTCGTGGCAAAAGGTCTCTGATGCCCAATTCGCTTTGATGTGAACAAACAGCGGAAAAATTCTTCATTTCAGCATTACAAAGCCGTTTTTTGTAAAATTCTTTGTACAGTTTTTTTGTAATTCTCAGAAAATGGCCGGTCATATGCATAGTCTGTGAGATTATGCGGATAAAAAGTTGCAGATTATAATAGGTAACCGATTAAACTTACATTTAAAGTAAACTACACTTAACACTATTTTCTGATTAGCACCGGGTCAATAATACTGCAGCATGAGATATAGCTACCTAGGCATATATGCCTAGGTAGCTATATCTCATGCTGCAGCCCGGCCGTGCTATTGGCGGCTCGCGCTTAGAAAAGGTACTCGTATCAAAATTTCACTGTTGCGCCGGTTCGGAAATTTTTATTGATCGAATTCAAAGATAAGCTTACAATTTACAAAAGAAACATCACATCGTAATATTAACAAACAGCAGAAACATGCGGACGGATTACAGAGAACATTTGATCTAAATTAGCCGAGGCCGGTGCCGTTCCCAGGATGGATGCCGGTTCGGCTGATATATTGGAGTTCCTATAGACAATGCATAGCGCTGGGTCGGCAGAAATGTGGCTGCAGTTCGGCAGATATATTGGTCGTCGTATGGAAAATACTTTTTAATTTTGGTTGTCCACATTTTGCATGACTTTGCCAATTAAACTGCCAATGTGGTCATGTTGCTTATGTGTTGAAGAATTTAAGGTACTTATGGCTTTTCGTTAAACGTTTTTCATTTCGTTTGCAAGTTTCATCAGCACATGCAGAGGCATACCAAACTACAGTAGTTTGTATAGTGGCTAATACGGAATTAAGTGCCTGACAGTTTATACGCTGGCTAGTGCCTAGTGGTATTGTACATTGTACACCATTCACAGTTTGTATGCATTAGAAGAATGGTTATCTGGAAAAAAATAAATAAATTAAACAATTAATTTTGTTTTGCGATGATGTCCTCTCCTGCAAGGATTAGACACGGCGCAAGAAAAAGCGCCGGCTTCTCTGCATGTTTAGTGCCGTACAATATGCTTAGGCGGCTGTATGTGTATAATTGTATATGACGCAGCCCGGCTGTGCTGTTGCCGGCTTGCGCTGAGGAAAAGTATCAAATTTCACAGTTGCGCCGGTTCGGCTGATATATTGGAGTTCCTATAGGTAATGCATAGGGTCGGGTCGGCAGAGTTGTGGGCGCATTTCGGCAGATTTATGGGAGGAAAACCACTTTCCTGCCGGGCTCGCCAATAGGAAACAGGCCAATATATCTGCCGGCTACAAGCGCCGACGCCGCCGTAAAGTCATACATGAGGAGTATACTGGACTTTAGCGGTCATATCACCTGAGGAAAGCAGCTTATTCAAACAGAGTGCAGTGGTCACAAATTAATTACTAAACACTAAGTCACTGACTGTTATTAATTAAAGAAGCTCACGGTACACTAGATAATCTGGAGCTTTGAAGTGCAACTGTAAACGATGAAAGACCTTAAAATATTTACAGTAAAGCAACGAAACCAGTTGTACTAAATAATTACTTCAAAGTTTCATCGTATGCTCCGATAGCGGTTTAAGAAAACTGTACCATTATGTTTTACATGACTCTGGTTACAAATCCTTCAGATTCTTTAAGAAAAGGTCAGCTTATTGTTTTTTCATTATGCAGCACGGCTCGTGATATTTCATGCTCAAAATCGCTGACGCTGAGAGGTTTATCGGTCTGACGGTGGGCGATGATCGCTGTATGGAGTCACACTGGAGGGACGCATGGTAAACACCGCCAACGAGGAGCGATCTTTTGTCAATCCGTGAGAACGCTTAACGATTCTTCTACGCGGGAAAATGCCAGTCATTCTCTGACGATATTCCGCATTCATAGCCAAATACACCATCTAGAAAACATGCAAGAATTAATTAATAATTGTAAAAACTGCTTGCGTCTTGCATGACCTTACCGGACTGGTTGCGTAACCGATTAGCAAGAACGCTCGAAAAACCAATTGGATCAGCGGATTGCTGATAAACCACGCACGAAACAAACTGGCCGCAATCGGTGCCGGTAGATAGCAGAGAGCGTACCATAAAACGCCATAAACAACATTTTTGCCATATTGCAACGTCGTCGGTACAACGCCTGCATTTTCTTCTGTTTCTTATCGTGCTTATCGTTAACTTTAGTTTTCTCCATCGACGCCCGCATTCCCATAATGAAAAAAAGCAGAGAATAAAGAGCGCCAAGAAAAGCAATAGGGAAAAATGTGCTCAACGTTGTTATAAGCGGATAAATAAATCCAGGTGTCGGTAATGCTGAACACGCGTTCCACGGTGGAGCAACATCGAACTTCGCACCGATACGAAATAACATTGGTATATTACACACTATCCCGGATATCCACGCTAACAGGACCATTCCAATAAGAACCCGTTTCGTTGTCCATTGTGGGTAGACATGCGGGAACACGATGGCCACGAAGCGGTTAATGGCGATTAACATGGATAGCCAGTTGCCGGCTTGGAAGGTGGTGTAGTAGCTCATCATCACGACGTTGCAGAACGTGGTTAGTTGATAGCCAAACTGCGGGAGATATGTGGAGATGGTCAGTAAGGGAAGGTTGATAATGCAGTGGATACACTCGATGAAAATGGAATTAGCGATCAGTGCGCCTGATCCGGTGGAGAGGCTCTTCTTCGATGTCAGAATGAGGAAGAGAAGAATGTTTAAAATGCTGCCGATGAGGCAGATAAGCAGCATTATAACGAACCATCCTGTCAGCCAGTTGTTGTAGATCTTCCACACGGGTACCGTCGTGTTGTATACCGTAAAGTTAACGGATGAAATTGGTATGCTTCCATTAAAGATGCGCGCTGTCATGATAATACAGTATAATGGAGATTTCAGTATGGGCTCGTACGCTACAGTTAATTTCAGTTCGACATTTTCTTGCAATGCATTTTCTTGCGTTGCAGTCTTTATATATTTTCTGCGCATAACGCGAGGAGCTATTACCGTTTTGGTACAATGAATTGACGAGGATGGGGACTAATAATTTTGGTGTTAACAATAAAGAATCATGCGATCTCATCTTGCGTCTTTCTTATTTCACTCCTAAATGACCGATATATCAAAAGGGCTTAACCGGAAACTCTCATACAAAATGACAGTGAAGCTTTTCGGGAATTCCCACTCTATAACGCGGAGGATTACAGCAGAAACGATTAGTGGGCGTATAAATGGCAGTTATAGCCCGATATTGCTTTTGCAGCGAAACCAGAAATTCTAAAGCTGATATACTGTAATGCGTAGTCTGCACCATAGCAATCTTTAATTGTTCTATTCCATTTCCTGTGCCTCCGAAATCTAAAGCGACTACTGGCATTATGGGATTCTGCCGTCACATGTCCATCTTTATTACTTTATTACTCTGCATGTATGACATCGCAGCGCTTGCTTTATGTGCCTTTGCTTTATTTCATGCACGTGCACATTTATCTTGCATGCGCACTTTTATTGGAATCTTCAATCTATATAAGGAGCACGTACTTAGCAGTAAGTAGCACGTCAGAAGAAATAATTACCTGGTAAAATTCTATAGTACTGTCATTTATGGCAGCACGTCGTAACATTTATGCTCCTGTCGCGCAACTCAGAGTTCCAGTTATTACAAACGTCATCGGCATTATTCTCGTGGCCGGTATTACCAGACGGTCTGCTTGTCACTGGGATTCATTCTGGCACCGAATGAGCAGTTGAACGCTTCCGAAAACTCCACCATGTTGGAGACCACGCCATTGACTCTCCATTCTGCCGGTGAGTGCTCACTTGTGAGCAGCTGCGTACGGCTGACTTCTGGCCGGCTCTTTTCGCACCAAACCTACGAGAAAAGGTGCGTTCTTAAACGAAGTCCCTCACACTGCATGAAACATGATATAACTAGGCATGTGCACAATACAGAATCAGAAACCTGTGAGAACGACAAGAAAAACAGTTGTTTCGGAGAGTAACGGCCCAATTCGGCGGCAACCGGTTCGGGTTTTGTTTGCCTCCTTAAATGTTGAAGGTATCCCTACAACTCGATAGAGCGCATAACTTCCTCATAAATCGGCTTAGAAACCCTGATTGAGTAACAGCTAACCTTGTACGCTGCCCTTGTACCACCGTTGTCGGCTATATTCTCTGCCAGTGTCAACTGCCCATCCACTTGCCCAACCGCCGTGGTATAGTTATCGTACTGAGCCGCCATGCCCTTTGTACGAATATCGTAAGCCGCTTTCGTAGTGTTCGTCCACCATGACCTCCGGGCGCCTTGATCGTCGTAGTTCGCTCCGGTACTGTCAAAGCCGTGCGTTGTTTCATGGCCAATCACCATACCGATGCCTCCGTAATTGTAATATTCTGGGCTGTCTGGGTCGTAGAACGGCGGTTGCAAAATGGCTGCATTTATGACTACAAAACACAAAGTTTAAAGGTATGTATACAGACTGTTTGTGTATTTAGGTGTTAAAACACAGGGGAACTATTTGTTTTAAACAGGCTCAGCACCATTCAAGTTACGTACTTAACCCGTTATAAGTCGGCTCGTAAAAGGCATTCACTTTGGTGATATCGCCGGTGTCCTTGATGGGGTCATAGCGTACATTCGTTGTCAACAAACGCCTCAAAGCGCGAACATTCTGATATCTGGCTATCTGCGTCATGGATGCGGAATAGCTGTCTTGGATGACAATCTGGAACAAACACTCTATTACAAGATAACACCTTCAATGGAACCTTGACCGTGACTGCTTACCTCTCTATATTCGGAATCGATTAAGGAGATATTGTTGACCATAATGTCCGGATAGCCGGCTTCGTTAATCATAGATGACAGTTTCTTATGCGCTGCCTCCAGCGTGCTGTTGTCCATCCAGCTGGCAGCGTCCAGTAGTTCTTTGAAACCCGTTTGAATGTCGTTGATCATAAGGGCTGCCTGACAAAATAGTCGCAACAAATTATTAGAACTAATTGCATACTGAAAATGTCTTCTCGGTGGTGCCTAGCATAGATAGAAATAGGTAAAGGTTACTTTTTGTTTAAGATCTTTAGGAATGACATCTCGAACGAATAGCGCTCCCATTGCCAAAGGTAGCGACTCCGTTACGGTATGTAGACAGCGCTGGCCAGCCGGCAGTTCCTGCTCAGCCTTCATACCGCTGATCTGTTCCTCGTACTCTGCGCGTCTCCTTCTGTAATTAAGGGACAAGGAACTCAGCGCATGGTGGATACCTCTCCAGCCGATATAGTTAGCGGCACGTTTCATTCCTTCCGCGCCTTGTTGCTCAAACTCCACGAATTTGGTGTCCAATTTAGACCAAAATGACAAATTTGGCACAACCACGACAGTATCATTGTGGACGACGCTCATCATGTTGGCCTCCTTGAAACAAGCGCGCAGATATTCCGTCATGTTCTTCATCAAGGATGAGTTGAACTGGTATCTTTGGGCAAATTCACTTAGCGTCATTTTGTTCAGAAATATAGAATCATTCTGAGAATCTACGGCAGACAGCCCGGCCTAAAATAATAATTCGTTATTATTCGGTATAGTGTTCGCCTGTCAATTTGCTTAGCGTATTACTCACCATGGCGAGGTACTTTTCAGTCGCGACAATATCCGTGAGATTCTGTGATAATTGGTTGACGTCCGCACGTGACTGGTTTGTCTCTTGCAGCAGCAAAGTTGTTACGTTCAACAAGTGTTGTAAATACTTTGCAACATACAATTTTTCTGTAATTTCATTCGTCAATAAGTCCACACTGGCGAAGGTGGCCGGTTCGATAATAGTCATCACGTTAGTTAACGGATTGACGACATCCTGGTTAACAAGAATACCGAAAAAGTGCTCACTGCCCGTGAAGTAAAATTTGAGTAGCGCGTCAACGAGGTCAAAACTGGAAGCGTTCCAGTTGGGAGTGACGATGGGCCATCCGCTCAAATGCTTATCCAGGAAATCCAGCAATGGTTTAGCGCTTTGCCGCTCAATTGTGTCTAGCAAAACAAAACAGTCTAACAGCGACGATCCATAAGAAGTTAGCGCTCCGTATCTAATATGTACCTTCATCTTTGCACTGTCGGTACAAGAGTTTCATTTTAACTTCCGACGGAAACCTCTCCTTTGTGACGTTTTCCAGTAAGTCTGTTAATTCATTAAAGCAATTAGTAGGCAATGCAAAATTGTGCAGAATGGAAATATGTACCTTGACCGATTTGTTCCAGTGTTTTCTCTAGGTAATAAGAATCAGTGATGGACGTCTCGTTATCGAGAACTTCGTGATTCTCTATCCATTTTCCACACGCGTATTGATAGAAATCGTCGCATGGGTCGGCTGTGGTGTTTATGCGGTCCAGAATCTTCTTCGCTGCAATCCAGTCGAAAGAACCGTAAGTAAGGTATGGACGTGTATTTTACGGTTACTGTAACGGCCTACCTGCTTTCTTGCATGCTGGTGCATCGCACACCGAAGTGGCCGCTTCGCTAGAATTTCCAGATGTCTGTTCAGTTTTGTTTTCAGCATCTGCGTAAACCAGAAAAGCAACAACTGGGATTTGGTATTTTTGAATATTTTATGCTTAGAGAATGTTGCAGCTTACCCTGAGCGTATGTTAAAAACAGAAGCGAATAAAAAATTATGAGCCATGCAAGAAGGCTGCATAAACGAGCCATGATGAGATTCAACATCAGTGCAGTAAATAACGGTCTTACTATTGTAAAATGTAAAGATAGTCTGACAGCAACAGTCAGCTATTTAAAAATTCCTGATTACGTTTTTGTATACGAGTATCTCTATGTTCCGACAATGCCGCTGGGAACCGATGATCGTGTTACATAAATTAATAATAAATACCAATATGACTAATATTATAACTGGGTAGTCGTGGACTCGTGGCATATAACGAAAACTTGATTTTGAGTGCTGGAAAAAGTTTGATTTGTAGCATAATGCCATAATGTGTTCGCTTTGTATTTTGCCTTTAGCCAAGTAGGACAATTAATTACTCTCTTTCGTATGGTTAAGGTGCGCCACGGGCCTTTATATCGTGGGTTGTACTTGCAACAGTTGTTCGCGTATCTGCATGCGCTGTAAAATGTCGAAAATTGTGGATCCTCAAAACCATTTGCGCCAGCGCTCCCGCTTCAACAAAATAATTATTCTTTCGCGTATCCGCTTAAAGTTAATTTCAAGCACGAATTTACACGTGTTCGTGCTGAGTCTTAAGGATTTTCATTGCTGCGTCAGTGCACAAAACGTTCCCCCTGCTGAGGGGGAATGCTCAGGATTTTTCTGGTCAGACTATTGTGACAGCAGGCGAACAAAGGCTCACGATAGTGAGAGAAGGCTTTATTGTGATAGCAATAAAGTACAGAAAACCCAAACACAAAGGCTCGATGTGAGCTGTAGAGTAGAAATCACCGAATGTCAGCTAGTGAATGAAAATGAACGGCACATCGAGCCATAACATGGGAAAAAGCCTAATGCGGCACTGGGCAGATCCAACACGAGCGAACGAACGCTGATAGGCCGAGATGTGGAAAGGAGGCGTGGCTCCGCCTACATCGAGGCCGATGATTGGCCGAGACGAAAGGCTGGGCGGAAAGCTGCCTGAGTCGAGGCCGATCTAGCGCTCGACAGCGAGTGCGACTCGGTGTGAGTCAGCACACCGGAAGCGGGACTGTCGCTGGCTGCCTACTCGTAGGCTGCCATAGCGACTGGCCCAACATGCCTCTGGGCGGGAGTCCGAGCCCCTGCGAAGGACCGGCCTCGTACCGCTCCAGTGCCCGCTCCGCACACGACCCTATTGGGGTCGGTGGCTGCGCCTCGGGGGTGTCCGATGACGAAGGTCTCTCGGTGCCGCGTTCTCCTCCGGACCCGTGGTGGCGATACAACTCACGGCCGAAATCCGAAGGTCGGTCGGTGGTGTTGTTGGACCGGTGTAGGCATCTGTTGGTCGTGTCCGTAACGGCGAAAAAGTAAAAAAAAATAAAGTATTATTCCATTTCTCTCTCTCTCTAGTAAAAATAACATCACAATTCCTGGTGAGCAGGTTGGTGAAAAGATCGATAAAATTGAGAACATCATTTCGAGATTAGAAAAAGTAAACTCAAAGTCTTTGGTCCGGGGCTTTTGGTCCGGGTGCTCATTCCGACTAGAGCTGATCCGCTCACGGGGGCTCCAGTCCACAGGATATCCGGCCATCTAGGTCCGAGGCATCGGTTCTCGGGATACCCAGGGGTACCGGTTCACTTCACCGAGGGTCGGAGGTTCGACCCTCGAGGGTCAAAGATTCGACCCTATCAACTTCGGGTAAGGGTATGGATCTCCATTGTCGGGTGTGAAACGGGCGTGAAACACACTTTCCGACCGGGATCCTCCGGTAAAAGCTTGATTGGAACCATCATAGCCGGGTGAAACAAGTTCGCACTTGCATCCAGCCGAGGTTCATCGGGTAAGGTTAATGGAGAGGCACTGTCGCTTCCGCGAATACCGTAAGGTACCCTCTCTGGGTGCAGAATAAGACCTATTGGGTCTATTGATCAGTGGATCCTCCGGGGAAGTCCGGTGATCCGAGGTTTAACCCGGGCAAAAACCGTTATTTTATGTCCCGTCGCCTATTGGGCAACAAGGACCGGTTAATGCCTGGTCTCCATAGGGTTGAATGGTCGATGGACGTGGTTTACACTGCACTGTGCAGTGTAAACCACGTTCTGGTCCGCATGATGATATGGCCTCTGTACGGGAGTCCGACCCTGTATCCGGTTGGCTTCAAGGTTTTGAAGTCCGATGGTAGCCTCGGTAACCGAGGGTCAGCTCCGGTTGCAAAATCAGAGTCCAAGCTCAGCCTCGGTTGCTGAGTCTAAGTCCATTGGCAGCCTCGGTACTCAAGTTAGAGTCCGGGTTGTACCCTCGGCTGCACTGGCAAATGGATACGGAGATGTTCCGCTCGGCTGAAAATCCTGAATTCGTCTCCTGTCACCTATTGGGTAACTCGGAGAGGATGATCGCCGAGGTTCGAAGGGTCCGAGGGTCCGAGCCCGAGGGTCGGAGGTTCAAGCCTCGGTATCCGAAGGTCTGATGGTCGTTTCATCTCGGCAAAACCCTTATTCGCGGTGTAGGTCGCCTATTGGGCAACTCTACCGAGGGTCTTACCGGTAAGGTAAAGTTGCTGCCCGAGGCAGCCTCCGTGTCCGGGGTAGCCTCGGTGGTGAGGTAGTCAGCATCCGCTAAGGCTGGTCCAAAGGCATTCTGCCCGGGCAAAAACCCTTTTTAATGTCTCCCGTCACCTATTGGGTAACATGGAGAGGGTCTATGCCTCTGGACAGGGTCCGAACAAGTGTCCGAGGGTCAATCGGCCTCAGTGTCCGGGGGTCCGAGCCTCGGTAACGAGACTGGCCCAACATGCTCTGGTGGGAGTCCGCTTGATGCTGGAGATGTCCACCGGGTGACTAGCAAAAATCATGCAAAAGAGGCTCCTCGGCGGCTATATAAGACCTAATTGGGTCTAAGCCACGAGGTAGACACTCTAAGTTTTAAAGACGGAGTCCAAGCTGGTCCGTTCCTCGGCTGGTCCCGTGCTTCCACTTAGGCGGAAACACCCGGGATGCCGGAATATGGGGCTAAAGGCCTGTGGGCCTGTTGGCGTAGTTATGGACGTCCGTGGCCTCCTTCTGAGCGTGCAGTCGTGCCGGACTCATGAATCCTCTGCCGGGCTGTTATAGCTCTTCAGGGGACTCATGAGTGCCCTAACGTCCTGGTACATCCTTCCGGTGACCACGGTCCGATTCACGGTGAAATGGTCATGCCGGTCACTCATACCATTACTCCAACACAGCGTTGTGCGTAGGGGTGAGGCATGAGTGTGCCCTAATGTCCCACTTCTTCCGTTCCGTTCCGGGGGTGGAAGGGAGGCCTATTGGGCCTCGATGGGCATCCACAGTAAGGTAGAGATCGTGGTTGATCTGCGCCACTTGACATGGTAACAGGTCGTGGTTGTACGCGATCTGCGAAGGCTTACATCCTCCGAGGGTCCTTCTGCCGGAGGGACAGGCCGGTGGGTGAAGCGGATCGCGCCGCGCAGCACCGTCCCGTCGCTTTTCGTACGACGGATTCCGCCGGAGTTATGCTGCCGAGGCCTATTGGGCTCTCGTGCTGACTTCAAGTGGAGGTCAGTCAGCTATTACTCCGATTCCCGGGGTGTCCATGGGTCTGTTGGCAAACACGTTGCTGAAGATTGCAGTGGCTTCTTCGGGAACATGTTAGCGGAATCCTCCTGGATTAGGTTCCGGAAATTAGTCATACGGGTTCGCTGACCGAGGGTGTATTTCTTCCTAGGTCGGCGTAATCCGTACTCCATTAAAGGTTCAAGTCGTGCGGATCGGGTTGTCAGGAGATATGGCTTCCTGTACCACACGGTCCGCATTCGGTTAAGGAATGGGAGCCTATTGGGCTCGGAGGGTTAGAGTTATGGAACTGTCGGTCCACCGGGTCCTTCTGCCGGCTGGGTGCGAGCAGGAGTACCCGGCAGATCATGCTGGGAACTTCTGTCCGACCTCCTTACGTGCGAAGGGTCCGATGACGAGGCTGTCACCAGGGCCTTGCTGATATAGGACGTTTTCGCTGCCTATGTCCGCGAGGTCCCGGCTAGTAGGGTTCGAGGGTAAGAGCCTATTGGGCTCTACAGTCCAAGTTACGGAACTGATCAGCCGGGAGTCCTCTGTCGGAGGGACCTGAACAGGGACAACTGTGTTGTGCGCAGTTGTGCTTGTCCAGTCGCTATTCGTACGATTCGTCCCGGTGTGACGTCCCTTGGTTCACACTTTTATCCGGGGGTCAGCCTCCAGGATCCTTCTGCCGGAGGGGCTGATCAACGACGAACGGTGTTTGCACAGTTCGCCGCTAACCAGCCGCTATTCGTGCGATGTATCCCGGTGAACTGAGGTTTTCTTCGGGTTCGACCTTTCCAATCAGAGGGTCGGAGGGTCGGACATCGGGGTATCCCTATTGGGGTCTACTCCCTAAGTCAATGGTGGGTCGGGATTCTACCACGCCCTATGATGTTCCCTTTTAGCTCCGGGGATAGCAGGTCGGCGGAGTCGCTGATCCAGCTGGAGCCAGCTAACCGTCGGGGGTCGGCTAACCCTTTAGTTCGGTTGCATCCCCTCGCTATTTGGCTCGGTTCGCCTCCTGTCATTGTCGCCGGAGACCGGAACATTCCGTCCGGTTCATCCAGGGGAAACCTGGGGAGACGTCCGGTACGGTTCAAGTTGAACTCGTACTTATCGGGTCTATCCGAGGGATCCATCCGATGTTCGATTCCGGAGTCTTCTGCCGGAGTGGATTATCCGTGCAGAACAGCAGGTCATGCTGATCTGCGCGGAGAAACCGCCTTTCGTGCGAAGGTCCGGACTAACGTGGTTTAGGAGGCTTCTCTTCCAGAACTACGGTAGTCCGAGGGTTGCCGGTTCGGTCTTCCTCTATTGACGACGAGGTCGGAGTTTCTGCCTCGGTCGTCGGCGGGGGATCAGGCTCCGCTAACTTCTGGCGGCCTATTGGGCACCTTCCCTGGAACCTATTGGGTTCACAAGGTAGTGGTCGAGCCTTTCATGAGGTTAAGTCCGGTCGGGTTCACTTCTTCGGACTCTGTCTTTCGATCCGAGGTATTTCCGTTCCTGCGATGTAGGTGATATCGCTTCCCGCGTCGGAGGGACGGAACTTTAGAATGTTCGTCCGCAGGTGGAGGCCTATTGGGCCTCATACCCCGGAGCCTTTAGGGTCCGGTGAGGTATCGAGCAATCTGCTCGGATGGAAGACGGTTCGCATTCTGCTTCCGCTGCCGTTGTTCAGTAATGGATTGGAGCTATGTAAGATATAGGAACG